AGGACATTGTACAGTTTACTTATAGTATTATCGAATAGGTTTGAGAAAACATGACAAATAGTAAAATTGGTTTAAGAAGGAAGCTATTAATATTTTCCTGATTGCTTTGTAAACAACATTCCTTTCGGAATTAATTGGTTAAGACAAGCATGAACAACTGCTGCCCGTACGGGTAAAATTTTCGACAAGAGCGATGGTGGGAACGCTGTATAGTGTGCGTTACAGGTCCGTATACTAGACCTGACTAATTTAGGGTGTTCGTGGGCCCAGGTATTCACCGCCAAAATATTTCGCTATATGTTTGAATATTTCTCAATAAAAACTAATTTAATAAAATCTTTTCTCTTCATCTTTTTGAACATATTCTCTTTTTCAACTGTTACAAATTTTAAAGCATTTAATTAGTATTAATCTTTTTTACTATTCATTTAAGTTTTATAATTTGTGCAATAAAACTTTTTGGTTTGTACTGTAAGGGATTTCTGAAAGATCACAAAGTAGTTAATATAATAGAGGTCATAAGAACGTCAAGTTTTTCGAAGTTAACCTTCTTGTCGCATACAGTCTGGCGTTTACCCGGTTTACATGTTAATCAATATCGAGAGACAGAAAAAAAATTCGAAACATTCCAGATTGTAATTGCATTTCTGAGATTTTCCTGTTTATAAGTAAAGGCAAGGCTACAAAACTGGAACTAGCATGGTAAAACAATGCTACATAAACCACAAAAGTAAGCAGAAATCACATTTGCAACGTGTTAATTTTCGTTCTAAAATAACAAATTGCATCGAAAAATTGTATTACTGTTCTACCTTTTCCTTAGAGCAATGTATTTGGTGCATTCAAATGATTTGCCAGATCAGAAGAGATAGCTAAGTCACGTGGTCAATCATTATATACCCAGCAATGTCTAGAAAAAGAACAATTTCTTACAGAAGATTGAAAAATCCATGTAATATTTTTGTGCGATTACACCACTCTGATTTAGAATATAAATGGAGTTCATTGCACTCTTAAAAACGCCCTGAATTTCAAACCTTTCATGCGAACAGTAATTTCTTTGTTTGTTTTATTTTTTATTCGGATCGAATATAAGTTTTGACTCTAATAACATCACACGTATGTGTATATGCCTATTATGCATTTTTGTATTATTATTATAACACATTAGTGTTAGCCTAATAATGTTAACCTAATTTGTAATATGTTTCTCAAACCCAATCGCGCCCTATTTCTAAACTGTCTTGCTACTTCCATGGAACGTGTAATTTAACCTACACAGATTGCCCCACCCCAGAACCTCCGCACGAGGTGGGGAAGCTTGCTAACGTGTTCGCTTAAATTGCCTATGGCTGTGTTAAGGTACATCTCATCATCGATTGCTCCACGCACACTGAATATCATTAGAGAAACATAAATTGGAAGAAAGTTTAAATAGCTATTATAACCACCACGAGTATTATAACATTCTGAAAAACTCATTGTCATTTAATAGCTTATAGATATTTCCTGGATTATTCATCTCTATAGTAACCATTACCAGTGATCGCGCATGCGCAGTTGATTGCGACGAGATTTTTGTATACAAATTGTACAAACGTTTCGAAATTTAGAAAATGGAAGTATTTTGAACTTCGTATATACGTTTTTAATTTGTTAGAATATTTGTAACAATGAAAATTATATACAAAAATGTATATACGCAAACTTGCTTTTTTCATATTTTGAAAAATTGATTTGAAAAGGCGTAATTGTGCAAACTATTTTCTACGATATTCCCTAAGATTAATAAATATAAAGAATAAACTGACACGCTTCAATTGATGTTAATTTTTGAAAAATAAAGTTTTTCTCTTATGAAAAAAGAATTGTCGACTTTCAACATAGTTTTACGTATGATATCATTTCATCAAATACCATTGCTGTTTGTGCATGCTTACAGTCTAAATATGTAATAGCCACACAATCCTAGACCTTAAAAAGATCCCACTAGAAAACTGCTTTCTTCAAAATGAAACTTACGCATAAGCTTTGATAGTTTTAATTACATGATCGACGTTATGTATTATATAAGAGTTATATCTATTACATGTTTTGATATAATTGTTCAAATATTTTTGCTACAGTGGAATGTTTTCTAAAGATAGTAGCTAATTTAATTATTTACTTGAGTCGTTGGACAACCAATGTAATATCACGTAGTGATAGCTGAATGCACGAACTTTATCAGGCGCTTAAGACTGTCACTATAACAGTAGTCTATTGCATAAGTTTAGTTCAAAATCTGACCTGACAGTCACGCCATGTCTGACGAAATTTGGCCGGTGTGCAATTTTCATGCATCCTTTTTTTTCTTAACTAAACATCATAAATGGTAAACTCTATTATTAATTATTTTTCTCTCTTATAATAACTCTCTTGTAACATACATTTTGTGATTTATGTTACAGTTTCGTGAAATTCTTTTACGATGAAAAATAGAAATTACAAACTTTGGAATACAAAGTTTCGTAAGAAGAATTTTTTCAATCAATTCTGCTACTACTCGTATGGATTTTTTGATTTGATAAAAAAAGATTATTAAACTATATTTGCTATATGTATACGGTTATTACTTCTTTAACCTGTATCTTCATTAAAAGTTTTATATCTCACTTAATAACTGTAATCGCGTTATTTAATTAATTAATAATATTATGTCGATGTAACACAGTTTAGAACAATCTTATGCAATACTAAAATTGTAATTTCCTGTTTGAAAATACATTTTATATTTATTTGCACTTTATTTTTTCATTCTCCGGAAGGTAAATCCCCGTTTACGTGTGTTACGAGAATCGCGAGAGTATGCTTGATAAGATACTGCGTTAGAAACATTTGGAATGACATCAGAAAAGAATCTTCTTGGAACACGTTTTAGCAGAGCCGAGTAACACAGCATATTCCCGACTAGAATTTCAGTTAGGCATGCCTAAAGACGAATGTGGGCCTAATGCGGAAACTATTAGGCAGACCTAAATGCTGCAAGCCTAATCGTTACCGCATTAGGTCCTAATTCGGAAGGAATGATGCATGCTTAAGTTGGGCATTCGTAACAGTTGCCATACGTGGCCCAAATGGGGCTGGCCGAGCGCACGCTAAGTTGGGCATTCCTAACAGTTGCCATACGTGGCCCAAATGGGGGTGGCCGAGCGTACGCCTAAGTTAGGCATTCCTAACAGTTGCCATACGTGGCCCAAATGGGGCTGGCCGAGCGCACTACACAGCATATTCCCGACTAGAATTTCAGTTAGGCATGCCTAAAGACGAATGTGGACCTAATGCGGAAACTATTAGGCAGACCTAAATGCTGCAAGCCTAATCGTTACCGCATTAGGTCCTAATTCGGAAGGAATAATGCATGCTTAAGTTGGGCATTCCTAACAGTTGCCATACGTGGCCCAAATGGGGCTGGCCGATCGCACGCTAAGTTGGGCATTCCTAACAGTTGCCATACGTGGCTGAAATGGGGATGGCCGAGCGCACGCTAAGTTGTGCATTCTTAACAGTTGCCATACGTGGTCCAAATGGAGGTGGCCGAGCGCACGCTAAGTTGGGCATTCCTAACTGTTGTCATACGTGGCTGAAATGGGGATGGCCGAGCGCACGCCTAAGTTAGGCATTCCTAACAGTTGCCATACGTGGCCCAAATGGAGGTGGCCGAGCGCACGCTAAGTTGGGCATTCCTAACAATTGTCATACGTGGCCCAAATGGGGCTGGCCGAGCGCACGCTTAGGTTGGGCATTCCTAACAGTTGCCATACGTGGTCCAAATGGAGGTGGCCGAGCGCACGCTAAGTTGGGCATTCCTAACAGTTGCCATACGTGGCTGAAATGGGGATGGCCGAGCGCACGCTAAGTTAGGCATTCCTAACAGTTGCCATACGTGGCCCAAATGGGGATGGCCGAGCGCACGCTAAGTTGTGCATTCTTAACAGTTGCCATACGTGGCCCAAATAGAGGTGGCCGAGCGCACGCTAAGTTGTGCATTCTTAACAGTTGCCATACGTGGCTGAAATGGGGATGGCCGAGCGCACACCTAAATTAGATGGAGTGGGGCTCTCAAACTTTTATGTAGGAATATTTACAGACATCTCAGTGTCGGACGTACGCTTGCGCGTAGAATTTAGTTTGCCATAAGAGAGCTTTCAACAAGATAAAAGTTTTTATAATTTAATCCATATAGTGTCTTGATGAGGTATTGCTCATGAGATTTCATTAATGTCTCCCAATGATAGCCTAACAAAGCTATTCTAATATGGGCCTAATGCTGTTGGCCTCATTGTATAGTCATTGCATTAGGGCTGCATTTGGCTTTCCCAATTAGGCGGTCGTGAATATTCCGCGTTACATACCGCATGCGGGCCGAACAGGCAAATTAGGCTAGCTTAATGCGGACCTAATATCTGCCTAACTGAAATTTCTAGTCGGGTTCTTACTGAATTGCAGGAAAACTGAAAAGATGACTCATCGGTGCTATACCGAACAGGATTACTATTTATTTGCATCGATATTGCATGAACAAAATTTTCACTGGTAGATTTAGAGTGGTTGCAATTTTACAGTGTCATGC